AATTATTCAGGTGAGCTCTCATACAAAAAAATAAAAAATTCCCTCTGATATAATTTTTTTTTTTTTTTTTTGTCTGCACTAGCTTCAAGAAGTATCATATATGATATATGTCATATGTAACTAATACAATTTGTATAGTAACCAAATTCAACCACTTAAAAAGTCTGAGAGCTTATCAACTTATTGGAAAAGATGGCAGGCTATTATAGCAAATTAACTTATGATTGTGAGGGGCTTTCATGCAAAATTTGGTAAAAAAATCCCTTAACTGTTGAAAACGACTGACCTGTTTGCAGGTTGAAAGGGCTCTTGATGTTGCTGAAACACTTGTTCGAGCATCACCAGATGAGCTCAAATATATAGCAGGTGATATGGTGAGAACCCTTGTACAAGTACGATGCTCTGAAATTACTGTTGAAGGAGAAGAAGAATCAGCTGAAGAGAAAAGACAAAAAGCGCTAGTTGCGTTGATTGTCACAAGCCCTCTGGAATCTCTAGATAGTTTGAACAAACTGCTATATTCACCAAATGTAGATATCAGCCAGCGGATAATGATATTGGATGTCATGACAGATGCAGCTCAGGAGCTTGCAAATGCAAGAATCCAGAAGCCACATCATCGACCAAGTGCCCTCATATCGTCCACTTCAGACCAACCCTGGTTCATGCCGAGAAGCACTGGGCCTCCAGGAGCAGGGCCCTGGAAAGAGATCTCATCGACAGAAACTCCATTAAACTGGTCGTATTCTTATGAAAGAGAACTTCCATCCAGACCAGGTCAGATCAAGAAAGGGAAGACACGTCGATGGAACCTTAAATCAACAATGCAGGAAAACCAGACTGACTGGTCCCAAAATAGGTTTCCCCAGTATGCAGCAGCATTTATGCTTCCAGCCATGCAGGGATTTGATAAGAAGAGACATGGTGTTGATTTGCTAGGGAGGGATGTTATTGTCTTGGGGAAACTTATCTATATGCTTGGCGTTTGTATTAAATGTGCAGCGATGCATCCTGAAGCATCTGTTTTGGCATTCCCTCTTTTGGATATGCTAAGATCCAGGTACTGGCATTTTTCAGATTCATTATAAAGTATGGGAGGGGCAACTATTTATTTCTGTTGAATGAATGATATTCATGCTTATATCACATTCTTGAAGTCACCTGAACCCCCACTTTGGATGCTCATAATTGAGTTCTTTGTCTAATATTGCACAGGGAGATATCTCATCACGTGGAACCGTATGTTAGAAGATCTGTCCTTTTTGCAGCTTCGTGTGTATTGTTGGCCCTTCATCCCTCTTATGTTGCATCAGCCGTGGTTGAAGGGAACGCTGAAATCTCAAAAGGACTAGAGTGGGTTCGGACTTGGGCCCTTCAAGTTGCTGAAACAGACACAGATAGAGAATGTTACACGGTACAAAATAATTATTTATTTACTTGGAAGATAAAATTTCATGTCTTCACTTCCATTCAAAGTTTTTCCTGCTTTTACGGTACTATTCATAACAGTTGAGTTGTGAAGTCCTTAATTAGGTACTTTTACTAAAAACTTGTTCTCCATGAAGTTGAAGGTATTTACAGTGCATTTTTTAAGAGATTAAAGAATGGTTAGCAGAAAGAAATTGTGTACGTTATTTGACCTGCTTAATTAAAGTTAAATGTCAAAATTATCCTCTACTGTAAAACGTATTTTGCACAGTTGGGGCTTGCATGCCAGGCCTCAGGTAATAATTCTGTTAATAAAAATGTCAATCGACTTTGAAAATTTACATAATTAGCTCATGTGATCTGTGGTCATAATCAGACCGGTTCCAGAATTATTTCCTCTTCTGCCCCTTTTACAATGAAGGAAAAATGTCTTCCTGGAGAAAAACTACAAACAATTTGTCTGTTCCAAGAGCTGCAATTTAATTCATAATTATCAAGAAAAGTCAATATTTAAAATTCAATAACTGTACTAAATGACCTGATGTGAATAATCAGATTAACTGATTTGATGAGGTTCTCCTTGTGTGTTTTGAGAGATAACGTGATGATGATTTTGAACTTTTCATCCGTAAGGTACAGTGAGTTATTTAACTTCAGTAGAAAAGATAAAGCATGAATAAGAAAATGTGATTCTTATATATCGACTACCTAACATTGGATTTTAAATGGTTCCACAGACAATTACTGATTCTGATTCCATTTGCTGGGCATTCAAATTTATTTGATAAACTATTTGAAATCTACGTTTTCCTGGAAAACCTTTCTCTAAGTAAGTGTAGTGTATTCTATCCGTATATTTCCTTTGTAGCTGCACAGTAAAGTTGTCATCAAACCATTTTCGAATTTATCATTATTTTTGTATGCTGTGAACCCCTTGGAATATCACCATTTCATTTTTCCTTCTGTACTCTGCTGTACGTGCTACTGATAATGTATATTTACCCAGTCTCCTTATTTTTCTTCTCTCTTTCGCCATGCAGAATAGTTTTAGATTTCCCATGCCTACTTATTTCTTCGCTTTCCCTTCTTGTTTTCTGGGGCCATTTACTTTGTTCTCGCTTCATGTTTTCTATTGCAGCTGGCTATGGCATGTCTTCAACTCCACGCTGAGAAGGCCTTGCAAGCGTCTCGAGCACTTGAATCTGCAGAAGATACATTGAAAGTGAAGAGCATTAATCTGATTCCAAGTGCGTCAAATGTGTCAATTAAGCTCCCCTATTCAAATGCAGGTCTTTGAATTGGTAAAAACCAAAATTTTCATTATCCTTTCGTATAAAATCCTTGGCTTTATTTCAAGAAAATCTTTTTACTACTCGACCGTCGAGAATGGCCCGGGACAAAGGGCACGGAGTCGGGTGAATCAGGTTGGAAGTGAAAGTTGTTAAAAACTGATGTATGGTTCTTATAGCCACTCCCTATTCCGTGGTCGACGTGGAAGAATGTGATTGTGAATTTTGTGTTGGGATTACACTGTCTCAAGGGTATTACTATTTATATTTATATAAGTGTTGTAAAAGCAATATTTATGATAGGCCTTGATTTCAATCTACTGTGGTATAAACAAAATATGGAAAGAAAGTTGTATGCTTAAAACTCAACGTGTATAATTCAAATTTTTTGTGGTGGTGAGTTATTACAAATGAAAACCTTTTTATACTACATTTGGTACATCATAATTAATTATTAATCCATGAATTTAAACACCCATTAAAATTCCTAGATGCATGCATAAAAAAAAATTCATCTATAATAACTTTGAATCTAATATAGATTAA